TCAGGAGCCAATTTAAAGGAGTTCTCACTGGACAAAAATGGGAAAATTTTAGCATCAAAAGAATAAATGTAATATACTGAAGCATATTTAACATATAAGAACTTATTAGTTCAAAAGATAAAACCTCATTGATTGCCTTTAAAAGTGGCTAGGACATTATCCTGTTTTTCTGAAAATTGATAAATAATGTAATAAATAAACAAGTATTTTCCTGATTTTCTAGTATGAACTATAGGGTAATGGAATAGTAAAAATAGGAAGAGTTTTACTTTATAGACTAATTCCAACCAATAAAAACAAATATTCTATAATGATGGAAATCATCATTTACAACTCCTGAAAAAATAATAGATCTAAATAATAATCATCAATGAAGGCTAAAACCATTAGGTGAATGATTAAGGGAACTTTGAGAATCAGGCTTACAAAGCCTGAACACAAAGATCAATCTTAACAATGCCAAAAATGAGACAGCTCAGAATTTATTCCTCCTGATGAGGCACAGTTGGAAATACACCATGTCACCTATAGGTATCCAAAAGACTTGAACCTAAATCTAATCAAAACCTGTCTATATACAACTAATAGAAAAATTGGAAATCTCACATATTGCTAGTGAAAATGAAAACTAGTACAGACACTTTAGAAAACAGATTGGCAATTTCCTATAAAGTTAGACACATACCCACCCTAGGACTCAGCAACTCCACTCCTTAAAGAAATGAAAGCATATGCCCACTTAGAGACCTATATGCAAATGTTCATGGTGTCCTTAGTCATAACAGAAACTGGAAACAACTCAAATTTCCATCAACAGGTGAATAAACAATTTTGATACAATCATATCATTCATATGATGCAAGAAAAATAATGAACTATTGATATAGAAAACAAAATGAATCTCTCTCAGAAGCATCATGCTAAGTGAAAGAGTCAGACAAAAGTAAGTACACACTGTATTATTCCACTTACCTAATATTCTTGAATCGGCAAAAATATAAGGACAGAAAACAGATCAGTGGTTGCCAGCAGCCAAGGGTTAAGGGAATTGATGGACTGCAGAGGGCACAAGAAACTTTTTGGATTGATGGAAATGTTCTATTTGATTATGTGGTGGTTGTATAACTGTATACAATTGTCAGAACTATTCAAACTCTAAACTTAAAAGGAGTGAATTTAATGTATATAAAGTTTTCCCTCAATAAATATGACTTATATTAAAAATCTTTTCTGTTTTAAATATCATATGATTTCACTTATATGTGGAATCTAAAGAACAGTATAGATGAGCAACAGGACAGAGACAGACTCATAAGTACACTGAAGAGTGCCAGACAGGAGGGGAGCTGGGGCACTGGGTGAAAAAAGTGAAGAGACTGAGACGTACAGATTGGTAGTTACAAAATAGTCACGGGGATGTAAAGTACAGCATAGGGAATACAGTCAATAATATTGTAATGACTATGTATGTTGCCAGGTGGGTACTGAAAATACCTGGGGAACACTCTGTAAAGTACATGATTGGCCACTGTGCTTTACACCTAAAACTAATACAAAATAATATTGAATGTGAACTGTAACTGAAAAAAATATTTTTAAGTGTTTTTAAATTTGTTTCTGTTCATCTCACACCCCAGTAACATAGAAAATACATCTAGATTATTTCATGTACTATATAATTATAAATTTCCACTATCCTTTGGCTCTATAAGTTGTTTGAATGGATCTCTTACTGAGATTCTCTAAACTAAAGCTTTCAAAGTTAATTAGCTTTCTTTAAAAGCATCATGACCCCTCTAGTATATCACTCTGTTTGGTTTATCTGGTGCCTGAAACCTATTTAGCTTCTTGATAATAGTCTCTCCCCAGATTTCAAACCCATGTGTACTGGTTATCCTCGATGTTATCCCATGTATCTGGTGTGTTATCTAGTCAATTTATAATATTTTTTTGGTGAGAACTCTAAGTCAACCTGCATATTATTTTACTGTACAAACCTACAAAAATAAAAGCTTTCAATATTTTCTTTGATATCATACTGCTTTTAAAAAAATAATCATTTCTTATTGATCTTTCTTTAAACAGCAGAATAAAAAAGAACCAAGTGATTGTCCCTGAATCAGCATGTTAACATCAGAAGATATCACTGAAGATCCTTAGTAAAATTTTAACTGCTATATTTTTGTCTTCTTTCAATGCTATTGAGTGAAAACACTGAGTTTCTAAGCTCATTCACTTATACAAGATAGGCTTATTTGCAGATGGCATGATACTGTACTTAGAGAACTCCAAAGACTGCGCTAAGAAACTACTAGAACTGATAAATGAATTCAGTAAAGTAGCAGGATATAAAATTAATATTCAGAAATCAGTTGCATTTTTATATCCAATAATGAGCTAACAGAAAGGGAAATTAAGAAAACAATACCATTCACAATTGCTACAAAAAGAATAAAATACCTAGGAATAAAACTAACCAATAATGTAAAGACCTGTATTCAGAAAATTATAAGACACTGAAGAAAGAAATAGGAGAAAATACAAATAAGTGGAAGCACATACCGTGTTCGGGTATAAGAAGAATTAACATCATTAAAATGTCCATACTACCCAAAGCAATCTATATGCAATTTCTATCAAGATTCCAAAGATATATTTCACAGAAATAGAACAGTATTTAAAAAATTTATATGGCACCACAAAAGGCCCCCATAGTGATCCTGAGAAAGAACAAAGTTGGAGGAATCATGCTATCAAATATCAAACTATACTATAAGGCTATAGTAATTAAAACAGCATGGTACTGGTATAAAAACAGACACGTAGATTAACAGACCAGAATAGAGGGCCCAGAAATATACCCACACCTTTATAGTCAATTAATAGTCAGCAGAGGAAGCAAGCACATACAATGGGCAAAAGATAATTTATTTGATAAATTGTGTTGAGAAAATTGGACAGATACATGCAGAAAAATGAAACTAGAACACCGTGTTATACCATGCACAAGAATAAATTCAAAATAGATTAAAGACTTAAATGTTAGACATGAAACCTTAAAAATCATAGAAGAAAACATAGCAAAATTTCAACATTGCTCATAGCAATATTTTATTGGAAATATCTCTCCAGACAAGGGGCAGAAAAGGAAAAAAATAAATAAATGGGACTACATCAAAATAAAAACTTTTTGCATAGCAAAGGAAATCATCAACAAAATAAAAAGACAACCCACACAATGGAAGAACATTTTCAGTGCTACATCTGTTAAGGAGTCAATATCCAAAATTTATAAAGAACTTAGAAAACACAACACCAAAAAATCAAACAATCCAAAAAAAAAGAAAAAGAAGATGGGCTTAATATGGTGCACAGCTCGGAGCCCAGAGTATTCAACACCGTAGTTGCTTTTTGAGTATTTGATATCAAAATACATTAAGAAGTCCTGCTTCAGAATTCCTTCCTTCTACCCAATAACTTTTTTCCCAATTAAATTGATCCAGTTAATTTCAACCTAACAGAAGCTGAAATTCAAGTCAAATTTATCACTAGATTGAAAGAGTAAAAAAACAGTAGCTAATCTTATTTACAATAATCTAGTAGAGAAAAAATACTAGAACAAGATTCAAACAAAATTGGTAAAATATTTTGTTTTGAACATTGGCTTGATAATGTCCATTCTAGTATGTAGGTATTTGACCTTATTTAGGTAAATTTTTGTTGTTTCCAAAAAATAACCTTTTTAATCTTTCTTCTGAATTTAGTAGAAGTCCAAATTTTTTCTGCTCCTAGAAAACTCAGAGCCACACTTGTGCCTACATAAATCAGTGTGTGGGTTTAAAGGGCAGCAGTTCTCTACTTTTTTTTTTCATCAAAACACAAGTGACATTTAAAGTGTACTTAATATTCATTGTCCGACATACTCTCCTCACTCTGGGGACAGCTAGTTTACATGAAATTCCCCCATAAGATTTCTGTGACCCTGTATTTTCTCTCCCATCAATCCAATAACACACCAGTGGCATAAAACCATAGTCAAGAACTGGTGGATTTTTCGCCTTATTCCTGTTTTATAGCTTCATACCATTTTTCTTTCTTCTTTCACTCCATTTTTAATTTATCCTATCTTGAATTTCATGTAGCCTTGTAAGTCATCTTAAATCCTTTCTAAAACAAGGTAAGGAATAAATAAATAATCTTTCCATGTATCTGCAAAAGCAATCTCTTCTCATTTATCCTGGATAAAGCCTTAAAACTTTTAACTCTTTGCTGCCTCTTAACTATTCTCTACCATATTAAATATACAAATATTAAAATCCATAACTTCTTTGGTTTGATTTGGTTTTGTTTTGCTTTAATCAATTCTATGTTTAAAAGTATCTAAGGCTGCATACAAAAAAAATACAAGAAAAGGATCTATGCACAATTTAAAGTTATAGGCCCATAATAGAAATTAAATTTGCTGCACAAGTTTTATGTCTAAGGAATGTGAACCTTCCAGTGTCTTGCATACAGTTATTCAAACAGTAATAGCTCAGTTACACAATAGGAATTTTAAAATACTGTGATGTAAGACTACTATAGCTTGGGCCTTGGCACATGAGAATTTGTTTTAGTGCTATTTTTAAAGCCACCAATAAACACTCCAAATAGCGGAGTCTCTGCTCAATTGAATCTGCCTGAGTTGTTGTGAAAAATAAAATTTGCAAGAGAATCACATTTTTATCTAAATATGAAATGCCTGTTAATCTACTCGGAAAAGTAGATATTTATAAAATTGGAGCTTTCATAAAGTACTTTAGAGTTTAGTGTTATTAAAAGGAAAATTAGTTATAAAAGTAACAAATGCACAACATAGTAGTTTCTGTTCATCCCATTTGATAGAAATAATGTCCTTTCATTTCCCCAAAGTTATCTAATCAAAGCAACAGATAATATATAATTATTAGGATTTGTTTTAGAGCAAAGTTTGATTTTAAAAAGTTTGACACTTCACTCACCTACTGCAGGACAGAGTTTTGCCCATATACAGATACTAAACCAATTGTCTAAGCAATTTCTTATGTTTAGAAATCGGTGCCACTATTATAGCTCACAATTTGGCTTATGATGCATCTGTAAGCAAACAGCCTGACAAGCACCCTAGTGTATTTCAGGATGACTGACGGGACACACTGGCTCAAGCAGGAAGGGGGGATGGGTGCCCTTAAAGCAACACAACCAGTGAAAGGCAACATCAAACAGTAGAATCACACTTGAAATTATACTTTTCAAATTTGCAATAAGATACTGACATATTGTCCAGTACGCACTTTTAAACATAAGCTTTGTGTGCATTGTGTGCCCAAAACATTATAAATTCCAAAATGGCTTTAAGAATTTTAAGGGTAAAAAGAAAACATTTTGAAACAAGCATGAAATGTGATAGTTTCCTGAACTTAACAAACATCTAAAGTACTTAAGAATGCTCTAATTATTTTTAACATAAATTAAGTCAGGGTACCCAGGGGAAAAAAAGCAGCTCTTATCTCACCTCGAGATGTTCGCCAATTACTCTTACAATAGTAATTTAACTGATGACAGTAATTTAAACATCTTGAATTAATCAGAGTAGTTAGCAAAGATAGGGGCAGAAGAGCCATGTATTTTGCCCCCTGCTCTGTCCCTCCCCTATGGCCCACATCATGGTTAAAAATAGATCAAAAGATCGGGAAATTTTAATTATGGGTATTTCCATATTAATTTCACTTCAAAAATTATTTAAGTGATATGTTGGCTTCATTCTTCACATTTATAATTTTTCTAATATTATTTCACAATACTCTAAGCCACCCAATCCTTTCATTCAGCAATCAGCTCTACTAAAAAAGTACAATAAAAGCCACTCATTTTTTTTTTTAACACAATCCCTCATTTAGCCAGCAGAGGGTGTGATTTGATTCTAAAAGCCCACCACATTGTATCCATTGACATTTATTTTCATTTTTTCATTTTCATTCATTTATTTTTAAACCTGAACCAAGAACTGGGACATACATTTCAATTTTCTTTACTAAATATGTTTAGAAACATTTTATTTTTACCATATAAGTTTGACTTATATGAGTCCATATTGGTATTTTAATAGTTCTCATCTGTGACGAAGGCTACCATTATTTCTCTATCAGTTCATCAGATGCATCCTCATTGTAGTAAAAGAAAAGCACTAGATGGCTTAGCAGCAGATTTGGGTTTAACCATTAGCATGACCTTCCACAAGCCCAGATTTTTCTGGTACAAAAAAGACAGACAAAAACCCTGCAAAGATTCCAAGCCTCACTAGATAATCGAAAACACATTCCACAAAAAAATAGAACTATACCAAAAGAAAAAATAATTCCTCCTCAATATTACATATGAAATTTGTAAATTCTTTAATATTTTCTCATTGCCCTGTTCAATATTTGCTAATTGAGTGTTACACATTAGGGGCTATAGGCTAATTTTAGAAGATAATTTCCTGTTATCACATCATTATTATATTTCTCATGACGATGCAATATTATGACTAACAAAGTCCTCGTACAAGCTGCAAACTCTTTATTTCACAACTTTATATCCACTTCAGTTTTTAAAAGCCTGAGCAGTTGATTTGGCTGATTTACTCTAAAAAATTTTTTTACTATGTGATTAGCTAAAATCATTAACTATCACAAATATATCTTGACTGAAGATAAAAATGTCCTATGCTTCTCTGATGCTATTATCACAAACATTACGTTTACTCTGTTAACCTAGAAAAATCAAAACAGACCAAAGGCTTAAAAAGTGATCCCTCTTTTCATGCCCCCAGAATTGCCAGTAATGACATATCCTTTATGCTGAAGGATTAACTTTTCCAAAGAGAAAAGGAATACTAATTCTCTTCCTAAATTGTGACCCAAAATAGAAAATTATAATTTGTTTTCCTTAGAAAAAGAATCCTATTTCTGATCATGAAAGCAAGGTTTAGGCTCTTCACTCCATAAAATCATTTTTAATACCTGAACGTGGCAGTTTCTTTCCTTATATAATAACTAACGATAGCCATGTAAATACCATATTTTACATTTGGAAATAAAGTATAACATTTCTTCAATTGTTATTGATTCTTTAAAGAAATATTTATCATTAATTTTCTAAACTGATACATTCTCTAAGATAAAAGATTCAAATTAACTTACTAAGTACCCAAAAGAAAACTAAAAAGTCAGGTTTTTCCAGTAATTTGCTTATCCTTTTTGTCAATCTTCTGCACATTTTGAGTATACAGATAACTTTTATTTTTCTGTTTTCATCTAACCACATAATCGCACTTTACTTTCCAATTCTGAGTTTGGTCCCTGACACAGGGTTTCCTGAACTATGTCTCATTCAGTGATTTTTTGTTTACCCAAATACCTTAAGAGCCTACATCTAAAGGCATTTTTTATCTCAATTCTATTTGTGACTAAGAAGACCTTTTAAACAATAATGCTCTACTGCCCTGAGCAGAGATTAAATGAATAGTAATAGATACTATTTATGTAAAATAACACTTTTTAATTTTAGTAACAATGTCTCCATACATCTGATGCTTTATTTGAATTTTCCACACACTTTTTATATATTTCGTTTTATCTTGAAAACAACTTATTTCCTTCCTAAACTATTGTAATTGGCTTCTAATAGATCATGTTCACACCAATGAGCAGGTCCGGAGTTCTGACTCTGACATACATTAGGTATGATGCATTGGAGGTATGAATGGTGTGTGTAAATGGGTTATGTCCCATGGGCAACTGAAAATTCATAATTCTAGAGCTCAGGAGAAAAATCAAGACTAAAGATAGAGAAATATTAGCTGCGTATCTGAGCTACACCTTAAACCATGAAGCTAGATGAGCTCTCCCAAGGCTGAGAGTGGAGGGAGATAAGGCACTAAAGATATCACTTTACAAAACAATTACAATTTAGCTGTAGGAAGAAAAGTGAAGTCATAAAAAGAATAGGCAGAAACACAAGAAAACTTGGTTCAAATTCAGGCTCTACTTTATACTGTTTGGACTTGTCCACATGACCCCCTTTTACCCTGTTTTCTTCATCTTGTGAAATAAAGTTGCTATGAAGAGTAATTACTCATAAAATTATCCAGAATATCTAAGGAAGTGCTAATTACAGTGCCAAATAATTCACTAATCCATTATTGTTATTTTGTGGAAAGATAATTTTCTCTTTATGAAATTCTATTTTTCTCAACAAAATGCCATTGAATTTTAGAAGGCTGCTATGAGAGATATCAAACAGATTGCTCATCTGATTTAAAAATGGATGAAGACTCATTAAGTTTACACGTTTTTATTTGGCAAATTGAATCCATTTCAACAAGGAAAGTCACCAACCCCATCCATGATAATAACTTATAATTAGGTAACAAGGAAACATGTTCCTAAAATGGAAGAGTGTACAAACAGCTTCCAAAGTTGTTAACAAATGCTTAACAGGGACAAGACACAACACATATTAATAAAGTGTGTATATTTATTTAGAGGATTGGATATGGAATGGTTAAAGGATAGAATACAGAAATAAAAGTAAAAGAGTGACAATAAGTAAAAATAGAAACCTCTGGCATCTTATTCCCACATTAAACTTATGGAGTGGTGCCAACCTGCTTCATTCCAGAGCAAAGAGCCAGTCAGTAGCTGAGGCTACATTAGAGAGAGAGGGGAAGGAAATCCTTTCTCCCACTCTGTTTCCAAAGATAATAAAAGAAAACTAGAGAGTGATGGATTTCACTACCAAGTAACCATGTTTATTTTACTCACATCCCCATTAACTGTTTAAAAGTCAAGTCTACTAATTTTACATCACAGAGCAAAAAGAAATGTATGGAAATGTAAAGAAAATTGATTTTGCAAAACTCATAATACCCTTAATTTTCAAAAACTAACTGTTATAACAGTTATAACTGTTGTACTATAACATCATTCTTGTCAGGCCATCAAGTGTACTGAAAAGAAGTAAGCTCATCACAGTGTAAAGTAAAATAATCTAGCTCAGTCATTAATATAGCAAATCACATTTCTTCAACTCTGCATAACCCTGCTCAATGGCCTGAGTAACCTGCACGCACACCCCAAGCCATCCCGCTCTTTTTCTCCTGAGTCATGAGTAGACAGCATTAGAGTGACACAGTCAATCATGCTCTCAGTTAAAGTTCAACTGATGGAACTGGTCCGTGAAATGCCTATTTTAAGGTATTTTTAGTTGTCACGTTCTGTATCCCCCAGCATCAGTTCCATTCCCCTCCTCCCTTCCCATGGGCATCCACTCAGCAGTTGCTAATGGGAGCCTTGCTGGTCAACTTTACATAATTATTTCTACATATGATATATATCTTTACAATGATATATAGCTGTATGTGTGTGTGGATTTTTTAATTTATACAAACAGTATTGTATTTCCCATCTCTCTATCATCCTCACAACCCCACCCCCGCAACATGATGTTTTAGTGGTCTATCCATGCAGAACTATATAGATATGGTAAACACCACAGGTTAGCTCACACAACACATAGTCCCAGCTTTGCCCCCTTGCTTTTACTGCTATGGAAGCAGGACACTAGCTTTCCCACCCTTTTTTGCAACTGATTGACATGTGACAGAATTCTGGCCAATGAGATGTCAGTGGAAGCCCTCCAAGGCAGGTTCTGGCAAAACTTTTACTTTCCTTGTAGAAAGGGCATTACAATATCGCCATGGCCCTTGGCCTGTCCTTCTGCTATCTGGGGTATGATGCAGGAACATAAAAGCAGTTGTGCTGGAAATTTGAGGAGAAAAGATGACCAAGCAGAACTCTAGAATGAGCTTGGGTTTTTGATGGCCTCAGCTGTGACTTCCTCCCTCCATACTTTTTGCTGAGAAAAATGAGTTCCTGACTAATATAATTGATTTAGTTTGTTCCTTTATTTTCCATTTGCATCATTCTAATAATGCATTTATAATATATATCCAAGAATACCTAGGCAGTATCCAACTCGCTGCTTTGGGAAACAATGATATAATAAACATTCTCATATGTGTCTCTTTATGTACCTACACAAGAGTCCCTCTGACACCTACATTCTCTTAT